AACCCAAGACAGCAAACAAATTGGAGCATCTGCATTTCTGACTCTTTGAAAGGGCGGGAAGCTCAATTATCCCCTGTTCTCTTGCACTGAATTGTTGTTGTTGTTGCTGGGGGGGGGGTGTGTTGACAGCTCCAGATCTGCCCTCAGGACATGGGTGTGGGGTGAGTGGAGGGGACAGCTGCCCCCTTACTGCTCATGGGTTTGCGTGTGTATTCTATGCCACAGCAGAAAACTACCGAACTGGCGATGCTGTAAGGGCCAAGTAATATTAATTCTGCACTTGCAAGAAATTGATCTTATAGGGTGGGCAGATCTGTACAGTGCTACCTCGGGTTACAGACGCTTCAGGTTACAGACTCCGCTAACCCAGAAATAGTACCTCGGGTTAAGAACTTTGATTCTGGATGAGAACAGAAATTGCATGACGATGGCACGGCGGCAGCAAGAGGCCCCATTAGCTAAAGTGGTGCTTTAGGTTAAGAACAGTTTCAAGTTAAGAATGGACCTCCAGAACGAATTAAGTTCTTAACCCAAGGTACCACTGTATTATGGAATGCACTCCTCCATGAGGAAGTGATGGCCCCCAACTTGGCTGGCTTTGAAAGAGGATGAGATCAATTCATGGAGGAGGTGGCTATTAATGACTCCTACCCATGATCTGTATGCTTTTGAAACATGGACTACTTACAAACACCATCTCTAACTCCCTGAAAGATTCCATCAATGGTGTCTCTGAAATTTTTTACACATCACTTGGGAAGACAGGCAAACTAATGCCAGTGTGCTGGGAGAAGCAAAGATCACCAGTGTTGAAGCAACGATTCTTCAACGTCAACTTCGTTGGACTGGTCATGTTGTGTGGATGCCTGATTATCAGTGTGGTGTAGTGGTTAAGAGCAGTGGACTTGCAATCTGGTGAACCGGGTTCGCGTCTCTGCTCCTCCACATGCAGCTGCTGAGTGACCTTGGGCCAGTCACACTTCTCTGAAGTCTCTCAGCCTCACTTACCTCAAAGAGTGTTTGTTGTGGGGGAGGAAGGGAAAAGGAGATTGTTAGCCACTTTGAGACTCCTTCGGGTAGTGATAAAGAGGGATATCAAATCCAAATTCCTTCTTCTTATTCCGAACTTAAAAATGGAAAGCGTAATGCAGGTGGTCAACAAAAGAGGTTTAAGGACTCGCTGAAGGCAAATCAAAAAAAAAAAAAAAAGGATTATTAAACACTGACAACTGGGAAACACTTGCCTGCGAGCGCTCCAGCTGGAGAACAGCCTTTACCAAAGGTGTCATGGGCTTTGAAGACACTTGAACTGAGGACGCAAGGAAGAAACGTGCTAAGAGGAAGGCATGCTTAGCAAATCTACACCATGATCAACTCCCACCCGGAAACCAATGTCCCCACTGTGGAAGGACGTGTGGATCCAGAATTGGCCTCCACAGTCAATTACAGACTCATTGTTAAAACCCTGTTTATGGAAGACAATCTTACTTGGCTACGTGTTGTCGGCAAAGAAGAAGAAAGAAGCTCTGCCTGCACAGTTGCTTCCGAATACAGTTGGATGAGCTTCCTTGTGCTCCTCTTTCTGCTTGCATGCTTCTCACGGTCATCTGGTTGGCCGCTGTGAGATCCAAGATGTTGGATTAGATGGGCCATTGGCCTGATGCCTTCTTATGTTCTCATGACCATTGTCTATGCTTCCTGGGGCTCCTGGGAGTCCAACCACCTATGGACGGCCATAGATTTTCCCACTCCTGCTTTACCACCTGGGGAAGGAAAGAGTGCCTGGGTGATATTTGATGGGCTCATTGCCCGCTTGTCTGCAGGGCCAGATTGACATGACGTTGCAACTCCTGATGGATCGAATGATTGATTTAACTTGAAAGCAGCCGTGGAAGTTAAGATCAAAGCAACAGGGAGAAGAAGGGGGGAGCATGAACCCTTCATGCCAGGTTCTCAGGCTCAATCCATGGGCCCCTCCAAACACCCTTTAAATTTTCTGCCAGTCAGATGGGTGGGGTATAAATAAATAAATTATTATTATTATTATTATTATTATTATTATTATTATTACCACCACCTCCCAAGGGAAACTGTTCCACTGTCAAAGAAGCTCTTTCTGCCATAAAGTTCTTCCTGATTTTTTTCAGGCAGAATCTCCTTTCTTGTATCCTGAATCCATTGGTTCAAGTCCTAACGCCCTCCCATCAGATGTCAAGGAAATAAACAGCTATCTGACTTTTAGAAGACATCTGAAGGCAGCCCTGTTTAGGGAAGTTTTTAATGTTTGATGTTTTATTGTGTTTTTAATATTCTGTTGGAAGCCGCCCAGATGGGCGGGGTAATAATCATCATCATCATCATCATCATCTGCTTTATAATTATCTATCCTGGCTGTACCTAAGAGTGTCCAATCGTACTGTCCTCCTGTGTGCAAACAGAGAGACTTTTGAGGCAAGAGGCCTGAGTTGATTCTGTCAGCCACTTGCAGGAGAAATGGGGTGTGTGTGTGGGGGGGGGAGGTTTTCTCTCCTGCCTCCCCCCACTCCAGCTCCAGATCTGCACCCTCAGACAAATCTGGCATGTACAGCTGGCCATTCCTGGCCAGCTGCAGCCAAGGAAGGATATCTGCAACCAGGCGCGGACATGATGCACTTTGCATCTCAAAGCTGCCTTCTGCAGCCAGCACAAAAGAACCCCCAAATCGGCATTTTATTAGCTCCGAGTTAATTATACCCCTCCCCATCACATCAACACACACGCGCGCACACACACACACACACACACACACACAGACACACACGTCTCTGGAGGATGACTCCTGCAGGCTGGAGGCAAAATTGCAACCAAATTTATGCCTGGAAAATTGGCCAGGGCTGGAGTGAGAGGGGAGGGGGGTTGGAATCATTCTATACCTTCTGCCAACTTTATGGGGGATTCCAGACAGATGGAACTTAGCATCAGGGACACACAGACAACCCCTGGTTTCAGAATTTGCCCCTCTGTGTGCAGGTCTCATGCCATTTGAGTACGAAACTACTGTTAGAGGACAAGAATCCCAAGACTACATTAAATGTAGCCAAATTCTGTGCGTCTGCAATTAATCGCAGGAAGCAAGTTGTATCCCATAATGACCAAACCCCTAAATGTTAATTACAGGGGGCACGCTAATAATTAATTTAAATTTTTTATATTTAAATCCTTGTTATATTCATATTGTCCTCTGTATTTCTGATATACCGGTATATATATTTTTTCTTTTTTTGTGATCTGTGATATTGTGTGTGTTGATGCTGGTCTGTGACCGTATTGATAAATTCATTCATTCAGCACCCACCCGTATCTCAAGGGCTCTGTTCAATTTTTATTTTTTTTTATGTTTCACATGCAAATACAGTGGTACCTTGGTTTTCGAACAGCTTGGAACCCGAACACTACAAACTGGAAGTGACTGTTCCAGTTTGCGAACTTTTTTTTTTTTGGAAGCTGAACGTGCTCTGTTTTTATAGTCCTCTGCTTCTGATTAGCGTGTTTCTCTTCCTGTTTGGGGACACTGATGGCGCTGTGGGTTAAACCACAGAGCCTAGTGCTTGCCAATCAGAAGGTCGGCGGTTCGAATCCCCGTGACGGGCTGAGCTCCCGTTGCTCGGTCCCTGCTCCTGCCAACCTAGTAGTGCGAAAGCACATCAAAGTGCAAGTAGATATATAGGTACCGCTCCGGCGGAAAGGTAAACGGCGTTTCCGTGCGCTGCTCTGGTTCGCCGGAAGTGGCTTAGTCATGCTGCCCACATGACCCAGAAGCTGTATGCCGGCTCCCTCGGCCAATAAAGTGAGATGAGCATCGCAACCCCAGAGTTGTTCGCGACTGGACCTAATGGTCAGGGGTCCCTTTACCTTTACCTTCCTGTTTGAGTTTTCCGTTTCTGATTTGAGCACCCCGCTTCTGATTAGATATTTGGTGCTTCTGTTTTTGCTTTTAAAAATTGTGTTTTTGTTTGTGTGGCTTTTTTGGTTAATTTGTTTTTCTGACTGTGTAAAACTTAGTTCAGCTACTGATTGATTGATTGATTGATTGATTCTGTGACTGTGGAAATGGAAAGCTGCAAAGCCAAGAGAACCATTAACAGAACAACAATAGAGGTAGTAAAATTCATGTTAAATTTCTGTTTTAGGGGTTGTTTTTAAAAGTCTGGAATGGATTAACCCATTTTGCATTACTTTCTATAGGAAAGCGCAACTTGGTTTTAGAACGCTTTGGTTTAAGAACGGACTTCCGGAACGGATTAAGTTTGGGAACCAAGGCACCACTGTACATCCCCTCTGTTTCTAATGTTCAGAGTGTCAGAATGGCACTTTGCACATGTGCAGGGGAAGTGTCAGCAGGTGTGAGGACGCACTGAGGTTCATAGAAGCACCAGCAAACTTTACTCCCTCAAACTGACTTCCAATTTCTGTTTGTGAGTGGAGCTGGAGAGGCTGGAATCTTGAACCAGGAGCACTCAAAGCTGTGGCGTTTTGTTGCAAACCTCTGTGTCGAATCACAGGGTTCAAAACTACATTTGAGGCCACCTAATCCAACCTCCTGCTCATTACATCCCTGGAATCAGCAGAAAAAGACAATATGCATGGTCTTTCCAAGAAATTAACTAATTAGAGGGTTTGGTCACATGCCAAGGGATTTTGCCAGGGACTCATCCACACAGGCAGCAGAATGTGGACTCCTGCCTTGGGGATATGGAGTTGACCTGTTCTGGGTGCGGGTGACGGATGTCCTTCAGAATGTTCATCCATTATGTCTTATTTCTTATTATTTCTTATTTCTTCTTATTATTTTAAAAAAACAGTGAAATGGCAGAGCATCATAGAGAAATACTTTAGCAGAGGAAATCCTTTTCATAAGCCCAGTAACTAAAGAGTGAGATTTACACATTTCATAGTATCATAGAGTTGAAAGGGACCCTGAGGATCATCTAGTCCAACCCCCTGCAGTGTAGGAATCTTTCTGCCCAATGTGGATCTTGAACCCACATCCCTGAGATTAAGAAGCTCATGCTCTACCAAACGAGCAATCTCAGGTGTTTGTTTACTCACATATAAACACGTAAAACATTCACATGGGGCGGATGAATCCATCAATTTTGATTTCTCTCCGTTTCTAATTTTTCTTAAATCCAGTTCTCCACATATCCACCTCACTTTGCAGGGTTCTTATTTTTTTTAAAGGCCTCATGAAAATTCAACGGCATTCTAGTGCAAATTTCTCCTAATGCAGTATACACATTTGCAGGCAATTTCACCCAAAGTACCGTACATAGCTCTCCAAACCAATTCTCCTCGATCTAATGCACTTTTTTTTTTTGCTTGTTACCCTCGGTAATATATGCACCTTTATAAACAGGACTTTGCCCCAGTTATAGGAATTATCGTACACATTCCTCAGCTGGGGAATCGCATTGCAAAATTCGGCTTGCGTTTTGCAAGGAGTGAAATGGTCTTTAAATGCAAACTGAAATCCACTTCTCCCCTATGCTTACTCCCAACTTGTGCTCAGATGCAAAGATTCCCATCTTGCTCTTAATAGGATCACTTGCTGCCAGGCAAGGGGGGAGCCTAGTGGCTGCCCCCCCCTCTCTCTGACAGGCGAAGGAGCTGCCTTGGCCTTCCTGGGGCATCCAACATGCCATCCACTCACTGGCCTGACAAACTGGCCGGATGGCAAGTGGGTCACCCAGTCTCTCCTCTGGCCGCCTCTGCTGGCTGTGCCTGCTCTGATTGATGATCTGGACAATGGGGCTGACACCCTCTGCCTAATTGTGATTAAGTGCAGGGCAGGCAAATGTGGGGGGGGGCAGGCATTGCAGTGTGTGTGTGTGTGTATATACACATATGTGCATGTCTCATGCGAGTCGCGAGCCTCCTTAAAGAACAGCTTTTGAGGAGGAGGAAATTGCAAGCAGCTGGGCAACGGGCACAGATAGAGGGAACCCCCCTCTGGCCGATTGTCAAAGGGGGTGGGGAGGAAGATGCTATTGGAGGATAGAAAAAGGGGAGGATAACAGGAATATACTCTGTCAAGTTGCTAAAATCTTTAACCTTTGCTAAAAACAAAACGAAGATCATGGCCACTGGTCCCATCACCTCCTGGCAAACAGAAGGGGAAGAAATGGAGGCAGTGAGAGATTTTACTTTCTTGGGCTCCATGATCACTGCAGATGGCGACAGCAGTCATGAACTTAAAAGACGCCTGCTTCTTGGGAGAAAAGCAATGGCAAACCTAGACAGCATCTTAAAAAGCAGAGACATCACCTTGCCGACAAAGGTCCGTCTAGTTAAAGCTATGGTTTACCCAGCATTGATGTATGGAAGTGAGAGCTGGACCATCAAGAAGGCTGATCGCTGAAGAATTGACGCTTTTGAATTCTGGTGCTGGAGGAGACTCTTGAGAGTCCCATGGACTGCAAGAAGATCAAACCTCTCCATTCTGAAGGAAATCAGCCCTGAGTGCTCACTGGAAGGACAGATCCTGAAGCTGATGCTCCAATACTTTGGCCACCTCATGAGAAGAGAAGACTCCCTGGAAAAGACCCTGATGTTGCGAAAGATGGCGGGCACAAAGAGAAGGGGACGACAGAGGACGAGGTGGTTGGACAGTGTTCTTGAAGCGACCAGCATGAGTTTGACCAAACTGCGGGAGGCAGTGGAAGACAGGAGTGCCTGGCGTGCTCTGGTCCAGGGGGTCACGAAGAGGCAGACACAAGTAAATGAGTAAACAACAACAACAACAAAACAAAACCCTGAAGCCTTCCTTTTAGGAATTTTAGGTGCCGAAATCCCAAGGGAGCAGAAAAGACTATTTATGTATGCGACCACAGATGCACGGATGTTATTGGCCCAGAGATGGAAAGAAGACGAAGTCCCAACCAGAGAGGAAGGGCAGTTGATGGACTATGCCGAAATGGCTCAAATGACCGGAAGAATAAGTAATCAGGAAGACCAAAGTTTTAATAAGGAATGGGGGAAATTTGTAACTTAAAGACCATTGTAAACAGTTCAAATCGTTAGTAGGATTGGAATATTCTACTTGTACCGGTAGTTTAAGGGTGAATTCTGAACACAATGGGAAAGTAAAAGATTTGGATCATCGAAAAAGATGCGAGAGGAAATGATTAAATTAAGACCCACACAGGGGAGGAGAGAAGTCCAGGAGATTTCTTGGGATGCTTACATGCCGTAGTAATAATAATAATAATAATAATAATAATAATAATAATTTATTATTTATACCCCACCCATCTGGCTGGGTTTCCCCAGCCACTCTGGGCAGCTTCCAACAGAATATTAAAATACAGTAGTCTTTTAAACAATAAAAGCTTCCCTAAACAGGGCTGCCTTCAGATGTCTTCTAAAAGTCTGGTAGTTGTTCTTCTCCTTGACATCTGGTGGGAGGGCGTTCCACAGGGCAGGCGCCACCACCGAGAAGGCCCTCTGCCTGGTTCCCTGTAACTTGGCTTCTCGCAATGAGGGAACCGCCAGAAGGCCCTCGGTGCTGGACCTCAGTGTCCGGGCAGAATGATGGGGGTGGAGACGCTAAGTGAGTTGGGCGGGGGGAAAGGCCCATCCGTTCGCCATCAGTTAGCTGCAGCTCTCAAAACATAGCTCATCCTTTTGGGATGCTGATGAGGATATTTGTGGCCTGCTAAAATTATTGCCTTACCAAATAATATTAATAATAATAAAAACCTGGACTAGTTCAGCAATAGATTCCCTTGTTAGATTCTCACCCTCGCTGGGTACAGGACCCCAAGAATTGGGAGGGACTCAGGGCATCAACTAGATTGACCTCACCCCAAACCCACAAAAGTATTATTATTTGTAGTGGTAGCAGCAGCAGCATTCATTTTTTCATTCATTCATTCATTCATTCATTCATTCATTAGCAAATTTACCAAAAAAAGTAAATTGCCTGTTAAAATGTGCCTGTATACTTATTGGAGGGACGCGGGTGGCGCTGTGGGTTAAACCACAGAGCCTAGGACTTGCTGATCAGAAGGTCGGCAGTTCGAATCCCCGCGACAGGCTGAGCTCCCGTTGCTCGGTCCCTGCTCCTGCCAACCTAGCAGTTCAAAAGCACATCAAAGTGCAAATAGATAAATAGGTACCGCTCCAGTGGGAAGGTAAATGGCATTTCCGTGCGCTGCTCTAGTTCGCCAGAAGCGGCTTAGTCATGCTGGCCACATGACCCGGAAGCTGTACGCCGGCTCCCTCGGCCAGTAAAGCGAGATGAGCACCGCAACTCCCGGAGTCGGTCACGACTGGACCTAATGATCAGGGGTCCCTTTACCTTTACCTTATACTTATTGGAGACCTTCCCAGCTGCCACTGCAAACTGCCTCACAGGTGATACTACAAACTTCCTGTAGACTGTGACGCCCCATCCATGAAAGTTATTCCTGCAAGGGGAGAAGCGGAAGGGTTTTGTATCTGAATTGTAGCAGTGGGAAATGCAAAATCATACTTAATGAGAGGGCCTCCAAGTCCTTGAAATGCCCACAGAAGTTCCATTTTCCAGATGGAGAACTGAGGCTGGATGCACCATATATCATATCTACAAAACTATAGAACCGCGGGGAGCTGGATCCAGTCATCAGCTGCTCTTCCATCCTTGCCAGAACTGTGTGCAGCTGTTAAGGGATTACACCCATTTCACAAGTGAAGACCTGAGGCACCTGGAAGAACCCAAGAGGCAGCAGTTTTTGCATATGTCTATCATCATTTACCCCTTAACACCAGAAATGACAATGCTCTCTGAGAATGCCTAAAATTATCGCCTCGCAAGCCTTGGTTTTGGCATTTTAAATGCTGGATGAGATTTCGGTCATTTACTGAAAGCGTATTGTAAGGAGCGAAAATGTCCCATGACTGAATTCCAGAGACAGAGGTAGCGAAATCTAGTGACTTACGTTGCCCTTTTGAGCCAAGTTGCGTTAAGCATAACACGGTACCGAAATTATATTTGTCATTCCATGCTCCGCTCACCACTTTATATGATCTTATGCAGTTTGCAGAAGAGAATATTACATGCATGGTTGACCTTAAGATTTGCAAGCAAATGTCTGATCCTCTCCAGATTTTCTCTGACCTTTAGATTAATTATAAAATTATATGAATCAGCTGGCAAAATCTGTGTTATCAGCATATTAAACAGGGGAGGGGAGTATGTGGCCCTCCACACCTCTCCATCTGGCCCCCATGATTCTTCCCACCCTGCTGCCCTCCCCAGTCCCCCCTTTGCACACCATGTCTCCCCCTCTCCCTGTATCATAGCTTCCTCAAGTGTGTTCACCTGATGGGAATGCGTTCTTGAACTCTGGTTGTTGTTGTTGTTTAGTCATTTAGTTGTGTCAGACTCTTCTTGACCCCATGGACCAGAGCACACCAGGCACTCCTGTCTTCCACTGCCTCCCGCAGTTTGGTCAAACTCATGTTGGTAGCATCGAGAACACTGTCCAACCATCTCGTCCTCTGTCGTCCCCTTCTCCTTGTGCCCGCCATCTTTCATAACATCAGGGTCTTTTCCAGGGAGTCTTCTCTTCTCATGAGGTGGCCAAAGTATTGGAGCCTCAGCTTCAGGATCTGTCCTTCCAGTGAGCACTCAGGGCTGATTTCCTTCAGAATGGAGAGGTTTGATCTTCTTGCAGTCCATGGGACTCTCAAGAGTCTCCTCCAGCACCAGAATTCAAAAGCATCAATTCTTCGGCGATCAGCCTTCTTTAGGGTCCAGCTCTCACTTCCATACATCACTACTGGGAAAACCATAGCTTTAATTATATGGACCTTTGTTGGCAAGGTGATGTCTCTGCTTTTTAAGATGCTGTCTAGGTTTGTCATTGAACTCTGGTAATGTGCCTCTTTTCCCTGGGCGCAGGATAGAGAATGCTGTGTGCTTAGAAACCACAACAATAAAACTTGCATTCATTGCTCCGCCCACTTTTGCCCATGGCCCCGCCCACCCCAGCATGCGGCCCCTGGGAGGCTGCTGGGAAGAGAATGTGGCCCCCAGACGGAAAAGGGTCCCCTGCTCCTGAGAAAAACGAACAAGCCCATGGGAAGCAGAGCAGTGGCTTTTATTCCACTTCTGGGGCACCCCTCTAGGGCTCAGAAACCTCCTGGGCCTTTGGAGGATGTGCTTCAAGTGCAAGAATCAGCAATGGTGGCTGAGCAGCCCTGAAAGAATCATGTGGCTTGTCTTGCCTTCCTGTTGCCGCCGATTGTGCAGCACCAGTTCCGTGGCACGCAAGGCTGTGCAGAAAACCACAAAGGCGGAAAAGGAAAACTGCTGAACCAGCGTGGAGACCTGGTTCCTTGAACCTATGCTGCCATCTGGTGGATCTCAAGGTAAGTCCAGTCAAAGGTGACTACAGTGGTACCTCAGGTTACAGGTGCTTCAGGTTACAGATGCTTCAAGTTACAGACTCTGCTAACCCAGAAATAGTACCTCAGGTTAAGAACTTTGCTTCAGGATGAGAACAGAAATTGTGCGGCGGCGGTGGGAGGCCCCATTAGCTAAAGTGGTACCTCAGGTTAAGATCAGTTTCAGGTTAAGAACGGACCTCCAGAATGAATTAAGCTCTTAACACAAGGTACCACTGGATGGGGTTGCGGTGCTCATCTCGCTTTAAGGCCCAGGGAGCCAGTGTTTGTCCACAGACAGCTTTCTGTGTCATGAGGTCAGCATGACTAAACCGCTTCTTGCGCAACGGGACACCGTGACGGAAACCAGAGCGCACGGAAATGTCATTTACCAGGGGTCAGCAAACTTTTCCCGCAGGGGCCGGTCCACTGTCCCTCAGACCTTGTGGGGGGCTGGACTATATGGGGGGGGGGGAAATCCTCCCCACCGACTCTCCCCTCCCTTCTCCACAGTGCCGAACGAGCTGCTTAGGGACGCGGGTGGCGCTGTGGTCTAAACCACAGGGCCTAGGGCTTGCCGATCAGAAGGTCGGCAGTTCGAATCCCCACTACGGGGTGAGCTCCTGTTGCTCGGTTCCTGCTCCTGCCAACCTAGCAGTTCAAAAGCACATCAAAGTGCAAGTAGATAAATAGGTACCGCTCCAGCGGGAAGGTAAACGGCGTTTCCGTGCGCTGCTTTGGTTCGCCAGAAGCAGCTTAGTCATGCTGGCCACATGACCTGGAAGCTGTACGCCGGCTCCCTCTGCCAATAAAGCGAGATGAGCCGCACAACCCCAGAGTCAGTCAGGGGTACCTCTACCTTTACTGGCATGCTTTCGAACTGCTAGGTTGGCAGGAGCTGGGACCGAGCAACAGGAGCTCACTCCGTTGTGGGGATTCGAACTGCCGACCTTCTGATCGGCAAGCCCAAGAGGCTCTGTGGCTTAGACCACAGCACCACCCGCGTCCCTAGGGGATTCTTGGATTATTCTTAGATATTTGCAAATCAGTAAAAGCACCTTCTGTGCGGCTATAGATCATCCAGTGCCAGCCGCAGTGAGGCAGTGCAAGGTAGCCTCCTCAAGCGAGAGATACTGGGGAGGGATTTGGGTGGGAAACAGCTGCAGGAGGATGGAGGGCAGAGCGATGTGTGCCTGCTGTCTTGAGGTGCAGGGAAACACTTGTCTGGTTTGCACCTGTACACAGAGTGGAAGGAGGCATCAGTCTGTCCTTCGCCTCAGGCACCAAAAGGTCTTGCGCTGGCCCAGAGACCAGCTTTTCCTAACCTGGTGCCCTCTAAATGTTTCGGAGTACAACTCCCACGAGGCATCCTTTGGAACTTGCGCTTCCCTGAATACTGCAATTCAGTCCTCTAGCCACATAACGCTTACCAATATGCAAATACTGGGGTAAATGGCACATAGAAGCGCATTATATTAGGAGAAAATGCTTTGCAGAAATAAAGCAAAATTGCAAACAAAAATGTGCAGCTGTTATGGCTCTGCTGGAAACCACAGGAGGGGGGAAAGTCCTCTTGTGACCAGATCTTGCTTGTGGGTTTCTCACAGGTATCTGATGGACCACTGTGAGAACAGGATGCTGGACTAGATGGGTCGCTGGCCTGATCCAGCAGGCTCACGTTCATATGTGAATTTTCGTTTTTGCAAACTGATGTGGAAATGTGCAGAAATGAACTTCAGTTTGGAAAAATGAGAACTGAAATGGACCAGTTTGCCCACCCCTCCCTGGGCTCCATCCTGGGTGTGGAGTCTGTTCCTTTTCCCCTTTGCACGTGACTTAGAAATCCTCTTCCATGTGGATTAAGGATCGCCCTGTGGGTTGCAGCACCATCCACGCTGGAACATGCTACGATTCCTCTGCTGTCTCCCCAGTCTTGCCAAGCACACTGGTGTGGCAAGTAGAAAAAAGACAGTCACACAACCGAGAAATTGCACAAAACAAATGAAATACTGTGAAAATCCCTGAAACGAGAAGTAATCGATTAGAAATATTATCTTAAACTAAATAATAAGAATCAAAAAGTTGAAGGAAAAAATTAGAAAAAACCTAAAATAGAACAAAGCCTTAATGGGATGCCGGCTACAAACCTCGTTTCACTGAACTATTCAGTTTCCTCAGAAGGAAATAGAAAAATCATAAACCTTAAATGACCAAAATTCAAAAAGGGGGGTAGAACTCCCCAAAATTCTGAAGTATTATAATCCTAGCTCGACCTAGGTGAAGCAAAGTGCAGTGTAGTGTAGTGGTTAAGAGCGGTAGACTCGTAATCTGGGGAACCGGGTTCGCGTCTCCGCTCCTCCACCTGCAGCTGCTGGGTGACCTTGGGCCAGTCACACTTCTCTGAAGTCTCTCAGCCCCACTCACCTCACAGAGTGTTTGTTGTGGGGGAGGAAGGGAAAGGAGAATGTTAGCCGCTTTGAGACTCCTTAAAGGGAGTGAAAGGCGGGATATCAAATCCAAACTCTTCTTCTTCTAATAAAGGATTAAGGACTCAAAGGTCCTAATACAGAATTTACAAAAAAGGTTTGAAAAACTAAATGGCAAGTTCAATGGTGTGGGCTGCAGCTTACGACTGCCCAAAGGGACCTTAAGCAACTGGTGGCAACGTCTGTGCTGAATCCGGGTTCGACACAGGAGTTGGTAATTCGACTGATTTATTTACAAGGCTTTATACAGCTCCTTGGCCCGGTTCTGAACACAGGCCTGCAGCAGGGTTCTTGTTCATCCAAGGTTAAGAAATGGCAGCAGGAGGAGGAGCGTGGAGCCATGTCTGAAGTTAATTCATCGCCTGTCACCGTTACACAAAGTCAAGGGTGACGTTGCCTGACGATTCCTTGCATTCCTTCGCCTTGATCTTAAGGGGAACTTATTTGCACGGTTCCTTCCTTCAGTTTGGAAACGGGTCAAGCGTCCTGATTGCTGCATTGATCCGAGACGACCCCTTGCCTCCTCTTGAGGTCACGCCGGGCACCGGAAGCTGCAGTAGTCGGCCGATTTGAAGATGCTGTAGACATTCACCAAGGGGAACATGATGACAGCTCCAAGCAGACCCCCGAGCTGCTCCATCGCTCCATACCAGACGAGGGCGCTCTGGCTGTGGCCGCGAAGGATCACTCCTAGCATCACCTTGACGTACGCGAGGGTCCCGTTGAAGAGCACCCAGGAGATCACCTGTCGGCACAGAAGCAGCTGTGTTTGAACCTCTGCCATTGAATTCCTTTCTTGGCCCGAAGCCAACAAATTATCACCTTCCCCTTTCATTATTCCATTAAGCACACAGCAGCTGCATTGGAACAAGCTAAACATTAACCTAGGTCAACAAACTGCTTCCCACTTGGCTAGCCAGATACTTGAGATAAGGGTAATAATAATAATAATAATAATAATAATAATAATTTATTATTTGTACCCCAAACATCTGGCTGGGTTCCTCCAGCCACTCTGGGCGGCTTCCAACCAAGACCAAAAATACACTAAAATGCCACGCATTAAAAACTTCCCTGAACAGGGCTGCCTTCAGATGTCTTCTAAATGTCAGGTAGTTGTTTATCTCTTTGACATCTGGTGGGAGGGCGTTCCACAGGGCGGGCGCCACCACCGAGAAGGCCCTCTGCCTGGTTCCCTGTAACCTCACTTCTCGCAGTGAGGGAACCACCAGAAGGCCCTCGGAGCTGGACCTCAGTGTCCAGGCTGAACGATGGGGGTGGAGATGCTCCTTCAGGTATACTGGGCCGATGCCGTTTAGGGCTTTAAAGGTCAACACCTTTAATGAAAACATTAGCTTTCCTGTTCCCCACCCATCAGCAAATGGTGGTAGAGTGCTTTTAAACCTGGAGGCTCCATCTTGCCATCACCCTACATGCTCACAGCAATCTCAGTTCGAGAGGGCAGTATCAGCAGGCACAGAATGCTGATGATGGAGTGGCCGGGCGTGGGATGGGAACAGGATGAGGTGCCCCGAAAAGGGGCCTGGCTGGCTGAGTAGAAGCATTCCACGCTGCAACATTTTGTTGCAGGCTCCACTTCCCAATGGTCTGTGAGCGAGTGTTATGTAGCTAAAGCAATGCCACCCACACGTGGGAGGGAGGCATGCGCAGCCCCCACGGAACCCACAAGGTTTGCAGAAGTACAAAACATGTTTGGGGCAAAAAAACCCCCCATAGGCTCAATAAGGACTGGTCATGCTTTCTGCATAACATACTGAGCAACTGATGGACTGTAGAAGGGGTGTTGGGAATGGGAAACATGGCGAGAGGGATGAACTGGAGTGGGTAAAATCCTGAAGAGCATCACTCCCCTTTGTCTTGTGATAGGAAATTTGAGGTCTTTGTTATATGTTAAATGTTCATAAGTGTACCAACCAAGCACGTACATAGATCAGCGCAGGGGGACAGACCTGGAACCATTTTTGATTCCCAAACTGACCAAATGTTTTCTCTGCAAGGTCAAAGGAAAATGGAAAAGACTCCCCATTGTCTTTTCCTTCACAAATCCTGTCTTAAGGGTATGTCTGTATTTGAATAGAATGTGAGCCTGTGACATGGCTCAGGAACTAAGTATTTATCATTTCAAAAAACTGGCCAGGCTCCCCAGGCAATCCAATCAAGTAACCTGCCAGACAGGAGATAAACAACGACAGGAGAAAAACAACATTCAAATTTCTGTTTTAGACCGCCTTTTTTTGTGATGAAGGTGTGATGTATCTGAGGGGTGGTCTTAGGTTACACCCCTTCTGTGATGTATGGATGATGTTTCTGGGGGTGGTCTTGATCTACAGGTGGCAATTTCAAAAGTCTTTATAAGGCTTTGCACACCATTGTTCTAGGTTCCTTCTCCTTTCCTGCGTGTGAGGGGAGCACCCTGTTGCAACAGATCAATAAAGATCAGGCTTACGAGCTGCTTTGCTTCTCAATATTCTCTGGTTGGCCTCTGTTATTTTCTCCTACCAATAGGGAACCTACGTAAGGACTCTATATGTGCTCTTGGATACCCCATAAGGGAACAAAGGCAGATTTTTGTTTACAACAATCTCAGGTCCCACTTCTCTTGGCTAGTAGCCAAGTAGACCTATCCTCCTCCAGGAACTGGCGTCATTTTCTTTTAGGGCAGGAGGGGAGAAGCTGTAGGGCTTTCTACCTGGCCTTTGGGACTGTCCCTAGGCCCCACCCCTCCCTGTAGGCCCCACCCCCTTTGGCCTCACCCTGTACCCCCCTGTGTCCACACTTTTGCTTGGCTGGAATTTGTCCTTGAACCGGCCAAACGCATACCTCTTGCCTGAACAGAGGCTGGAGAAAATTGAATTTTCATATGCCTGCTGAACAATTGCAAAATCCGCACCCAGGGCCCTGACCCCTGTTGACCTCGGGCCACACCCACCTCCGGCTAGCGACCCCTGGAAGGCTGCCTGGGGCAGAATGTGGCCCTCGCAGCCAGTGAGCAACCGTTGCAGCCTTTGGGTCCTTGTCAAGACCCATTCTGGGTTAGGAAGTTTCCGGGACCCATTTGCAAAGCTGCAGGATATCCCATCACGTCTCTGAGCAACATCCCTCTTGCAAAAGCAGAGAATGCCAGAGCCTTTGGTGTAAGCTACTTACGATGAGTGCGTCCCCCCACTCCGAGTGGTTTAGGGGCGGGCAGGGGCTCAGGGCAGCCATGCCCATGTTGTAGGCGCCAAAGGCCGTCCCGGTGAATGCCAAGACACTCAAGAAGGCGAGGGACCTGGGGGGAGAGCAAAGGAAAGCATCAAGGCAAATAGGCAGCGAATTTCAAGCCAAATTGGGGTCAGGATTTCACATGGGATGAAGCTTCAAATAGAGAGCGGGAGAGATTCAGAGCTTGTTCAGATGACCTATTTACTGAGCATCTTTGATTTGCATTCATCCTGATTTGATCGCACCAATCTCAAAGCAGAGGTTAGATTCTATCTGGCACTGATTTCCTTGAAGTGAGGTTATACAACAGCGATTCTTTTTGTCCTACCTTTGCTTACAGGGTGTTTATTTCTTTAACAACATTTATATGCTGTTGGACTGTAAAAAATAAGCTACCGTATTTTTTGCTCCATAAGACGCACTTTTTTCCTCCTAAAAAGTAAGGGGAAGTGTCTGTGCATCTTATGGAGTAAATGCCTGGTCCCTGGAGCCGAACTGCCCAGGGGCGAAAAGCAGATCATGCTTTTTATTTTTTTTTGAAAGAGGGAAGTGGGTGTTGAAACAAAGCTGCTGATCGGCAAGCGATCAGGAGGGAGATAAGGGATGCTAGAGATAAAGGAGGCTGCCCGGGAGGGGGGAGGTAAAAGCCCATGGATCCTCAGGATTTTTGCATTGGGTCACCCCAAATTAACCATCAGATCACATAGCATGTCCATGGCTACTGCCTGCACCAAAAAAAATCACGCACCCACTGTTGCGTGGGGCTGCAATGGCGCAAAAATGTGGTTACAAAGCACAGATCCACATGGATGCTCAGGATTTTTGCATTGGGTCACCCCAAATTCACTGTCAAATCACATGTCTGTGGCCACAGCATGAACCACAAAAATCATACATCCACTGTTTCGTTCAGAATATTTTTTTCTTGTTTTCCTCCTCTAAAAACTAGGTAAGTCTTATGGTCAGGTGCGTCTTATGGAGCGAAAAATACGGCAACTCTAAGGAGTGGCGGACGTTGGGCTTTAAAATTTCAGTAGGGCCTGTGCGGCACCAAAAATTGGTGCCACCCCCCGCCTCTCACCTTCTCTCGTTCATCAGTGTTTCAGCGCCACCTGCGGTGCCCCCTCTGCTTGGCGCTAATGTGGGCAAACTGGCTGCACTTCCATAAACCTGCCTTGTTGCAGGATGAGAGGTGGCGCCTGATGTTATGCCCAGGAACAGGAAGGGAGACACTCCTTTACTCGGCAGGAAATGTTGCTGCTTGACTAATTGGATCTGGCTGATTGGTTAACTGGTTATGCAAATCCTCCGAGTTTTTGTCGCGATGTTTAAATAAATAAACCACTCTATTCTGCCTTAGTCAGACTACTCCTGGAATACTGTGTCCAGTTCTGGGCACCACAGTTTAAGAAGGATGTTGACAAGCTGGAAGGAGTGCAGAGGAGGGCGACTGAGATGGCCAAGGGTCTGGAAATCAAGCTTGATGAGGAACGGTTGAGGGAGCTGGGTATGTTTAGCCTGGAAAAGAGGAGACTGAGAGAAGATAGAATAGCCATCTTCAAATATCTCAAGGGCTGTCACATGGAAGATGGAACGAGCTTGTTTTCTGCTGCTCTGGGGGGTAGGCCCTGAACCAGTGGATTAAAATTATAAGGAAGGAGATTCCAACTAAACATTACAAAGAACTGTCTGATGGTTAGAGCTGTTGGACAGTGGAACAGTCTCCCATGGGAGATGGTGGACTCTCCTTCCTTGGAGGTTTTTAAGCAGAGGTTGGATGGCCATCTGTCATGGATAATAATAATATAACCCCACCCATCTGGCTGGGTTTCCCCAGCCACTCTGAGCAGCGTCCAACAAAATATTAAAATACAATAGTCTGTCAAACATTAAAAGCTTCCCAAAACAGGGCTGCCTTCAGATGTCTTCTAAAAGTCTGGTAGTTGTTCTTCTCCTTGACATCTGGTGGGAGGGTGTTCCACAGGGCGGGTGCCACCACCGAGAAGGCCCTCTGCCTGGTTCCCTGTAACTTGGCTTCTCGCAGGGAGGGAACTGCCAGAAGGCCCTCGGCGCTGGATCTCAGTGTCCGGGCAGAACAATGGGGGTGGAGACGCTCCTTCAGGTATGCTTTGGTTGGGATTCCTGCATTGCAGGGGGCTGGACTAGATGACTGGGAGGGGTCCCTTCCAACTCTACAACCCAATGATTCTATGAAATGCAACCTTTTCTCATTGCGAGTTGCATCTCGAGCCTTCTTTAAGGGGGCGGTGGCCAAAGCAAGACATACTCGTGAAGCAGAATCAATCCCAGAGCTTGGAGAACTCAAGAATTCTTGCCAAGGGGGGTGGGTACCTACCTGCTGGGCAGGAACGTAGAGATGCTGCAGGCAAGAGGGACAGCCATGGCACCCAGGGTGGTGGAGAGGTGGTAGGCTAAGTTGCTGTAGGGCAAGCAGGAGTAGCTCTGCACTGAGGGCAGGATGCCATACATGAGGGAGCTGCACCAAGTGATGAGGACATACATGAAGGCCAACGTGGTCCAGGAGTAGACAACCTTCTCTGGAGCTCCTTCTTCATCTTCTTTGGAACAACTTTCTGCCTTTCCCTCCACAGGGAAGTTAGTGAACCCTTCTTTCAGCCCTCCATCCGCAGGGATCTTCCGGATGGAGTGGAGGGTGATCTCGCTGGCGCAGAGTTTCTGCTCCGAAAGATCCCACACCCTGGGCAGGCGGTTGAGGAAGAAGAAAGCCACGAGGCAGGAGAACATCAGGCCGGACAGGATGAGGAAGAAGACCAGGCTGGAGAAGTTGGCGGGGGAGTAGCGGGTCTCTAGGCGGAAAGGGATGGGGTCGCCCGCGCTCACGTTGCCCAAGGTGGCGTTGCTTCTGTGAGTGTGGTTGCTTGGGATGGCAACCTCGACGCAGCTGGAGATCCCTGCTCCCTGCGCCAGAGCGAAGAGAGCAGGGACCAGCCCGCTGAGACCTTCCCCGATGAAGTAGGAGGTGATGTATCGAGGGTGGAAGCGAGCCATGAAAGGCAGGAAGGTGACGGAGGAGGTGCAGTCCACCAGCGAGAGGCAGAAAGTCAAGATGAAGAAGGCCACGCTGTGGCGAGCCCCACCGAATTCCATGGTGTAGTGCCACAGGAAGGCCAGGAGGAAGCAGGCCACGACTCCGGTGGAGACCACGATGCAGATGACGAGGACCTCGCTCAGCAAGCCCGGCTTCCACTTGTGCATGAGGGTGATGAAGAGAGGGCCCACGTTGGCCAGCTGGATGATGATGATTAGATAGGAAGGTAGGTACCAGGCCTCGGGCAGAACGTTCACCAGCACCGGGAGCTCGACCCACACGCCGTTGATGGACATCCAGGAGCCGATCCCAAAGATGCAAGCCAGCACGTGGGTGAGCACAGCCATCTTGCTCCTCGGTGGTGTACCTGCTGGAGAAGAGAGACGGGTCAGAGGAGGGGTTGCAGTTCCTCCCAGGTGACCATCTGGGAAGGCTTGAAGCTGAAGCCATGTAAAAAGGATCCCTGGACGGTTAAGTCCAGCCAAAGTCAAGTCAAATAACCTTTATTGGCATCGCATAAGAACATTCAGAATACATTCAGAATAGACAGGCCAGTGAGACCCCAACGGCACAGTCACCCGCCAAAGGGCAGAAGAGGCGAGCGATCCGCCTCATCTCTGTGGGTTTCCAGGAAGGGCAGGATCCTGTAGCATACTTCGGCGACAAAAAAATCAAACAGAGGAGCTTAGCTACAGTCTTGGTGAGCTCCTGGTCTCTCCCCTGTAATAAGAAGCGCATAACCTCTGTCTCTGGTTTCCATGTTGGAATACATAGATGGTCTAGACTACAAAAGGGCTGCTGCTGCCCAGCAGAGAGTACTGTTCACATTCTTTTAAAGTGCTTTTTAATTGTGCATTGTTGTTTTTTAAAAATAATAATAGTTTTTTAATGTGTTTTGGGGGGCTGTTATTCAGCTGGTTCTGTTTATATTTTGATTATGTATTTCTGTTTTCATATTGTGGGTTTTGGCTTGTGAACTGCCCTGAGACCCATGGGTCTAGGGCAGTACAGAAATATTACTATTATTATTATTATTATTATTATTATTATTATTATTATTATTATCAGATGTTCCTTGGGATCCCTTCCAACTTCCCAGTTCTATGGCTCTATGAGTAGATAGGCCACTGCCTGGTCTCATGTTACTCATTCATTTATTTTTACATTTATACCCCACCGTTCCCCCAAGAAGCTCAAAGTGGCATACATATTTCTTCTCCCCATTTTCTCCTCACAGCGACCCTGTGAGGTAGGTTAGGCTAAGATGCAGCGACTGGCTCAAGACTCGCGAACGAGTGGGGATTCAAACCCTGGTCTCCCAGGTCTTAGTCCAACACTCTAACCACCACACCACGCTGCCTCCTGGCTCTTATGTGGCGAGGTTTCTCCAGCAAAATCTTCCAAGTTGAATATGGCAGCGAGAATCCTGGCAGGGGCCAGGCATTCAGAACACGGGACACCAGTTCTGTGCCAATGACGCCGGCTGCCTGCTTGTGTCCAGACCCAGTTTAAAGCCAGCACTTTGGGTACCCATCTTCCCCCCATACAATCCCCCCAGAGAGCGGAGGAATGCCCCAATGTCCTGCTGCTCCCATGGGTCTCCATGCCCTTGCTGCCCAAGGCTGTGAGTTTGGTTGGATTGCTAATTTCTTAAAAGAAAGAAAAAATGGAGAAGGATGGACGCAGCGCTCCAATCGCCTCGTGGTCTCCTTGTCTGAGAAACCTTGCAGTGCTAAAAACTGCTTAGAAATGTTAATGATTATGTAGTACAGTGGGAAAAAATGTCTTAAATAAACTCACTCAATCAAAATGGGTTGATAAAGACCGTAAGGACTTGGGGCCACCTCTACTCTTTCAAGAAGCACATAACGCTCGTTCTACTGCTGCAAAATGAGATGTTGAAAACAAGTTTGCTTAAGATAAACCTCATCATAAAACCAGCAGTTTTTAAAAACATATACAGTACATTGCGAAATAAAACAGCACATTCCAATACAAGTCAAATGCTTGGGTAGGCTACTCAAATACCTCAAATGTCCTCTTGGCCTCCCACCCTCAGACTTTGACTCTCGGAAACCTGGAAGCGTTGCGCAAGAAAACCACACGGACTCAAAGTGCAGGATGCGTGATTCACCCAAAGACTGTAAGTGGAGCTGCAGGGAACAAGATTAGCAGCATCTTCCAGAGGGCTGTACCAGTGCTAGCCCGAATCAGAGTAGACCCATTGAGAGTAACAAATGACCATCTGTCGGGGTTTCTTCAGCTGCGGTTCCTGCATTGCTAGATATATATCTATATATATATCTATATATATATAATTAAATTTTCTGTTTTAAAATTTAAAATACTCATTTAAACATCCTTAAGATATCAATGACTTTCCTTCTTCCCTTTCCATGGTTCATTTTGCATATCATAAATCCCTGCATATTTTACAAAAACTCTACCAAACAGTATTCCATTATTACAGCCATCAAAACTTATTTGCACTGTCGATCTTAATGCTGCCGTTTTCAAGTGCACACAATTCCCCCCCATGTATTCAATAAACGTTTTCTAATCTGCTCTAAACGTATGTTCTTCTCGTTCTCTTATTCTATATGTTAAGTCTGCAAGCTGCACATATTCCATCAACTTAAGTTGCCATTCTTCTTTGGTTGGGACTTTGCTCGTTTTCCATTTTGGGGCTAACAAAACACGGGCCGCAGTAGTGGCATACATAAATAACCTTTTTTGACACCTGGGAATTTCCACCTGGACTCTGTTTTTTTTTGGGGGGGGGAAGTACTTTTAAACATTTTTCCAATTCATTATAGATTATTTCCCAATACGCTTTTACCCTTTTACAAGCCCACCACATGTGAAAGAACATTCCCTCAACCTCATTGCATATTCGGTTCCTGCATTGCTGGGGGGTCAGACTACATGAGCCTTGGGGGTCTCTTCCAGCTCTGAGATTCTATCTGTATCAACACAACCATCTGCCCCAGCTGCAACAAAACATGTCTCTCCCTTATCCGTCTCTACAGCCACAGCAGGCGCTGTAACTCTAACGGTTTGACGTCATCCACAACAGAGCATTCCTCCATCATCTCCCCAGACGGACGGATGCCAACATACACCACTTACTTAGTGCCATTAATTTCTGTGGGTCTACTCCAAGTCAGACTTAGCTGGAGGCAAGTCATTGCTTTTAACCATGCGCTATGCGAAAAATGCGACGCAGGTGGTGCTGTGGGTTAAACCACAGAGCCTAGGGCTTGCTGATCAGAAGGTCGGCGGTTCGAATCCCCGTGACGGGGTGAGCTCCCTTTGCTCGGTCCCTGCTCCTGCCAACCTAGCAGTTCGAAAGCATATCAAAGTGCAAGTAGATAAATAGGTACCACACCGGTGGGAAGGTAAATGGCGTTTCCGTGCGCTGCTCTGGTTCGCCAGAAGCAGCTTAGTCATGCTGGCCACATGTCCCGGAAGCTGTACACCGGCTCCCTCAGCCAATAAAGCGAGGTGAGCGCTGCAACCCCAGAGTCGGTCACGACTGGATCTAATGGTCAGGGGTCCCTTCACCTTTACCTATGCACAAAATGCAGACCTGGCTGCATAACAGGAGGCTCAGCTGGGTGGAGAAGCCCATGTCTTTGATTCCACCTACCTTCAGTGATGGAAGCAGATCTCCAACTTCACTTTCCTAGGAGAACAATGGTGACCTCCTTCTGCTCTAGCCCTCACAGCAGGAAAAGGTCCCAGGGCATGCTGGACCCAGTGCCTTTCCTCATTTATCCCAACCCAACAGAACCTGCCAAGGTGCGAGACCATTTGCGTGCTCAAGACATGGACCGGGATATGCTGAGGCTGGTTTCTGCTCAGGCAGGTTCTTTAGAAATCCTTGAGTATCTTCCAGAAGCTCCGCCTTGAAACTGGAGCCTCGGAAGCACCAAGATTGGCCTCTGTCCGCCCCAAAGGCACTATTGATATTTGATGAAGTGGCTAAGCCAGCTCAGCTGGATATATTATGGCTGCCGGGAGCTATTAATCCCTCTCTTCTGCCCAGGCTGATCCGCAGAGTGCAGAGTGGCAGATCCTGCCCTTTGGAACTCCCTGCCAATTGATGCTAAGCAGAGGGTTTGGCACCTGCCAAAGAGCTTTCTGCTCAAGCAAACCCACCCACCCATTAAAATCCATTGTTGTATATTGCTTTAAATGTTTGTTTTGCTATTGGGATTGCAGTTCCATTCCTGTTTCTCAAGCTGGTCTCTGACCGTAATCAATTTCATGTTTCAAGTCAAGTTTATTCTATTTTAATCGGTTATTTTAGCTTATAATTTACATTTCCTCCCCTATTTTTTAAAACTTGGATCATTTCAATGCATGTTTTATGTTCTTTGGGGGTGTTTTACTCACAGTAGACCCACAGGAATTAATTGCATGAAGTAGGTTGTAGCACCCTTGTAAGGGACACCCCAAAGGACATCTAGTCCACCCCGCCCCTGCAACGCAGGAATCACAGCTAAATGAACATGACTAAGTTAGGCCCAGTAATTTCAGTGGGTCTACTCTGAGTAAGTCAAGCAGGGTGCAGTGTGTCAGACTAGGACCTGGAAGAGACCAGGGTTCAAATCGCCTTGCTTAGTCGTGAAACTCGCTGGGTCATCTTGGGCCAGTCACTGCTTCCTAAGCCTAAACTGCCTCACAAGGTTGCTGTGGGGGTCAGATGAGGAGGTTAAGAGAACCACAGACACTAACTTGAGCTCCTTGGAGAAAAAAGCGGGATGGAATTGCAATAAAATAAATACATAAATCTTAGTTGACTGCCACCCTTTGCAAACCACTTTGAAGTTTTATTCAAACTACGCCAGTGTGGTGTAGTGGTTAAGAGCGGTAGTCTCGTAATCTGGGGAACTGGGTTCGCGTCTCCGCTCCTCCACATGCAGCTGCTGGGTGACCTTGGGCCAGTCACACTTCTCTGAAGTCTCTCAGCCTCACTCACCTCACAGAGTGTTTGTTGTGGGGGAGGAAGGGAAAGGAGAATGTTAGCCGCTTTGAGACTCCTTAAAAAAGGGAGTGAAAGGCGGGATATCAAATCCAAACTACTCTTCTTCTTCTTCTATTTGCAATTAAGCAGCATGCACATTTATTTTATTTTATTTTCTGATAAATAAAAATCCTGGTCAGGTGCATTAACATTATTACTTGCCTGCTTACACCACAGAGGTCTCAACGTTGTTTTTTTTACACCATTTTAAAGACTGTAAGTGTAGATTAAAAGCAAACAGACATTATAGTACATGGAGAGGCTCTGCATTTGGTAGTTCCACTCGCCAGCCTCTGCTTCCCCCCATCAGACCTTCCCATTTCCCCCCAAAAATGCAACTCCTACAGTCTCTTTTCCACCTGCTCAATCTTGTTTCCGAAGCTGCTGCCTCTCTCTTCCATTCTGCACACTCCTAAGCCCAACAAACACGGCTGGTGACCAGGAATTATGGGAGCTGTAGTCCAGCAACACCTGGGAGGCCACAGGGGAGCTGCCTCTGTTTTGAAGTTTCGTAGGTTTCAGTGGAGTTAACCACAAACCAGTCTTTCTCAATGAAACCTGTGGTTGTTGTTTTTTAAAAGTCCTTAAATTACGACTGCATCCTGCCCTAACAATTATTTTGAAAAGTGTTCCAGGCTATAGGAAGAAAATTCAGATCCTATATCCACCTACATGGGAGCAAGTCTCACTGAGCTCTGTGGGAATTCCTTCCGTATAAGCTTGTTTACTTTGGCCACCTCATGAGAAGAGAAGACTCCCTGGAAAAGACCCTGATGTTGGGAAAGATGGAGGGCACAAGGAGAAGGGGACGACGGAGGATGAGATGGTGGGACAGTGTTCTTGAAGTTACCAGCATGAGTTTGACCAAACTGCGGGAGGCAGTGGAAGACAGGAGTGCCTGGCGTGCTCTGGACCATGGGGTCACGAAGAGGCGGACACGACTAAATGACTAAACAACAACAAGCTTGTTTAGAGTTGCACCGCAAGGCAGGTCTCTGCCCTGAGGAGGCTGCACTCCAAAAAGGCAGAGGAGATTCAGTTCGAGAATTTTGCCTTCAGTCCTGCACCCACTTAAAGGTAAAGGGACCCCTGACCATTAGGCGTTTAAAAGGGGAATGCAAACTTTGCTCAGTAAAGGAACTTGCTAACACAAGGTAAAGGTAAAGGGACCCCTGGCCATTAGGTTCAGTTGTGGCCAACTCTGGGGTTGCGGCACTCATCTTGCTTTATTGGCCAAGGGAGCCGGCGTACAGCTTCCGGGTCATGTGGCCAGCAGGACTAAGCCGCTTCTGGCAAACCAGAGCAGCGCACAGAAACACCGTTTACCTTCCCGCCAGAGCTGTACCTATTTATCTACTTGCACTTTGATGTGCTTTTGAACTGCTAGGTTGGCAGGAGCAGGGACCAAACAACGGGAGCTCACCCCATTGCAAGGATTTGAACCACAGATCTTCTGATCGACAAGTCCTAGGCTCTGTGGTTTAACCCACAGCGCCACCCGCGTCCCCCTGCACCCACTTACCTGGAACTAAAAAGCACTGAAGTCAACGAGACTGTTTCACAGCTTGTGTGCATAGGGTTGTGCTGCTGATCTTAAATCCTTTCCATGTCAATCTTAGCTCAGTCATTGTGACTCATCCTCACCTACCTCACAGGGTCGTCGTGAGGACAAAATATGAGAGTTTCTTGTATGGCTACCCTGAATTCCTCGTAGAAAGGACAACATACTAATGTGTTAAGTAACATTTTAAGGGTTGTTCTGGAGAAAGGGGCTGGGTTCCAATCTCTGTTCAGTCTCTGGCTGATGAGCAGACTTAATATCCACTTCATATCTCTCCATCTGGCCTACTTTAAAGGATTGGTGTTGCTGCTGCTGCAGCTGCTATAAGGAACCTCCCAAAACTCTTTGAAACAATGGCAGGATTTAATTCAAAAAGAGAGTCGCCAAGCATGTGTCTAATCAATCTTTTCATTGCTGCTGACTTACCCTTTGCACAACGAATTAAATCTCTGTTTCTCTCTTTCCGGAAACAGGCAGACAATACTCTTCAAACACAACCAAGAATGTGTGGCAGAAAGCAGGAAGGGAAGAGGGAGGAATGAAAGAGTTTTAGCCAAAGCCAAGGTTCCCTCTCTTAAAATTCCAGCCCTGATTTTCCCCAGCTCCCATCCAGCAACTCTTCACAATTAAGGCTTCAATCCTAATTTAATTTACACTTTGGAACTCCCCGCCTATTGATTTCAGGCAAGCACCTTCACTGTGCCCTTTTTCGCACCTGATTAAAACATTTTTGCCTAGACAAGCCCAGACGTTTAGAAAGTCGATGTGAGTTTTAATTGGTTCTTTATCTGTTGTTATTTTAACTTTTTGAAAGTCTTTATGTTATTGCTGTTTTCTTGTTGATGATTTTGTCGTTATACCTTTTTCTGTAAATGGCTTTGAGGTTGCTGTTGTTACACTCAAGTGGTGTATAAATATTATGATATAAAAATAATCATTTACCTGGGAGTAAGCCCCACTGGATCTAAAAGGAGCTACTGGTACTTCTGAGTGGACAAGTTTAAAGTGCTGCAATCCTTCTTCCTGCATTCATCTTGATTTTCTTGCAAGGCATTTTTACATCTTCACAATAATCATTTTAGTGCATTTCCTCATTGCTTCCCTTGTCAATTTCTTTCCTTCTTTTTTTTTTGTAAAAAGGTGGATCTGTTGTACTAGGTTGACAGAACCCTTTAAACCACTTTAATTGTGCAACCCTAAATTTATGGTAGGTGTTCGAATCACTCCTGCAAGTGGCAGTCTGGAGGCACCCCAAAAAAAGTGTTTGCTTATTCCTTTAGATTGAAGTACAGCCAGGTTGGTGCTTCAATGCATCTGTTGCACAGATGAATTAAGCAAAACGAGCAAGCGAAACCATTAAGTGTGAACTTAAAAATATTTTGCAGAAAAGGGAAAGAAGCTACAAACTTGTACGAAGTAGGATATCGTTGCGTCTGTGTCCCAGCCTCCAACTTCCTGGTTCATTTGAGGAAGCAAATGTCATTAGCATATTAAGTAGGGAATGCTGTGAGTGGTAATTCTACCTGGAGCACAGTGAGTCAGGTTGTGGTATTCTAACTTTGTTTGTGTCTTTGAAGGAGGAAATTGAGCCAAAGGGGGAAACTAAGGAAAGGTGTAATGTATGGTTACCAGACATCCCCGTTTCCTGGGGATAGTCCCCAGATTTACCGTATATTTCGCTCTATAAGACGCACTTTTTCCCCTCCAAAAATTAAGGGGAAATGTGTGTGCATCTTATGGAGTGAATGCAGGCTCCTTGGCTTCAGCGATAGCAACGCAAAGCCTCCTAAGCTCAGAGGGAGAGCTCCCCCCGCACTCCGGAGGCTTTGAGTTGCTTTCACTGAAGCCGCCTGAAGCCCCCAGAGCGTAGCGCGAACTCCCGCTGCGCTCTGGGGACTTCAGGCAGCTATCTGTGAGCCTTCAAAGCGCAGCAGGAGTTCCCACTGTGCTCCGAAGGCTTGTGGATAGCCGCCTGAAGTCTGGAGAGCGAGAGGGGGCGGTGCACACCGATCCCTCTTGCTCTCCAGGCTTCGCTTCGCTGGAGAGGCGCTGCACAGGTTTCCCTCTCTGCGCAGCGCCCCTTCAGCGAAGCGGGAGGAGAAATGGAAGGGGCTCCGTTTCTCCTGCCGCTTCACTGAAGGGGCGCTGAGCAGAGAGGGCGAGAATTTTTTTTTCCTGTTCTCCCCCTCCTATGGTCCGGTGTGTCCTATAGAGCGAAAAACACGGTACATATCTGTCCCCAGACAAAATCCATCCCTGCAATGCCCCCGGATTTCATTTAATGTCCCTGGATTTATATTTCAAGTGTTTTAGATCTACAGTCATACCTCGGGTTACAGCTGCTTCAGGCTGCGTTTTTTCAGGTTGCAGACTACCGAAACCCAGAAGTACCGGAACAGGTTATATGCTATATGAATATATGCTATATGGTAATTTATAGACCTAATAGGTCTCCAAAGCCATTTGCTCATGTTGTCGTGCAACCAGTCCATGCAGAATGTAGGCACCCTATATATAGCAAACTAAGGCCCGGGGGCCAGATCCGGTCCAATCACCTTCTAAATCTGGCCCACAGACAGTCTGGGAATCAGCATATTTTTACATGAGTAGAATGTGTCCTTTTATTTAAAATGCATCTCTGGGTTATTTGTGGAGCATAGGAATTTGTTCATTTCCCCCCAAAAAATATAGTCCGGCCCCCCACAAGGTCTGAGGAACAGTGGACTGGCCCCCTGCTGAAAAAGTTTGCTAACCCCTGACTTACATCATAGGAGCCTACACAACACAACACAAAACACTGTTGCTGTATGTAGGTTTTATTTTATTTGTTTTTTACCTTACATTTTGGATATGTACGTCCAGTTTTTTTCCTTTAATTTTTTTGGGGCCCCCCAAGAAACTGGGGCCCTAAAGTGTAGCTTGTTTAGCTTATACGTAAATCCAGCACTGCCTTTGACACCTGGGACATGTTTGTTTCCAGGGCTCACCCAATTTCCGTGCCTGTAATCTGTTTTATCTGTTTTTAATTGTCGTAGCCTGCTTTGCAAATGGGCAGGTAATTAATTTAATCACTTTCACCATCTCTTGCAAATTTAACCAGGAAGAGCGCTCAATACACGGGTATTCTGGAAACCACCAGAATGTGCTGTGTTGCCAAGAGATTCTGGTTCCATAAGATCCTGGGCATTTGATTGAGCACATTTTCTTGAAAGCATGTGGGCTGCAGAACACCCAGAAACCAAGAGGGTGACTCAAGAAAACTTCCAATGTTACTCTTTCCTCCTACCCGTGACTAGGGAAACCAGAATAAAACAACCCTGTGTAACCCTGTGGTTCCTGGGAGGATGTCCCAGTGGCTGTAGGAAATAGGGATCCACTTTCTGTGATCCACTCTCAGGCGGCTTCTCCTCTTTTTACATACCGTATATTCTTGAGTATAAGCCAATCCGAATATAAGCTGAGGCACCTAATTTTTTTAAAAAATATATTTCTTATTGATCAATTTCCACATAACAAATTATCAAACCATATAATCACATACATTAGTCCCCCACCACCACCATCAAGGACTTCCCTCAGCTCCTCTCCCTGATTTCTCTTCACATATTTCCTCTGCATATTATAAAATTGTACGTATTCTTACATATCTATCCACCATGTTGTCAACCAATAAATTTGTGTATGTTTATTCAAAACCTGCCAAGGAGTCCAATTCATTTTGTTGTCTTTTTAGATAATTTGTAAAAAGTTCCCATTCCCCCTTGAAGTCACAGTTGTCTTGCAATTTGTAAGTCAATTTGGCCAGTTCCGAGGCACCTACCATATTTTACCACAAAAAACTGGGAAAACTTATTGATTCGAGTATAAGCCGAGGGGGGCTTTTTCAGCATAAAAAATGTGCTGAAAAAGTTGGCTTATACTCGAGTATATACGGTATATATGTGTAATTTTTTTTATTTTCCATTTAAAATTATACATTCACATCATCATTATCCACTTTACCACCCTGGCTCTTTAGAGCCTGTCGACTTCCTTCCCTCCCACTTGAAAGGTGAATCTTTGAATATTTTGCAATTTCCGAAACAACACGCAAACCGGGAGGACAGCCATCCTTTGAAACCTGCGCATTTCTGAATTTTGCAATGCAATTCTCTAAGCAAATCATGTTTCCAAAAATGCACATCTTAGATGAAAGTGCGAATAAAAATGAATAGGTTGGCAAAATTTTCACACAAAAACACATTCTATTAGGGGGCGTTGCTTGCAAAATATATGGTGCGCTTGTCAAAACCACATATTACGCGTGTTTGTTAGGAGAAAGTTGCACAAAAATGCTGATGGATTTCCAAAAGGATTTGCTTTTTTTTAGATGCAAAATGTAGATTTAAGACTAGAAGGAGAAACTGCGAGGGCATAAATTGACAGATCCTTTCCTTCCTATGTGTACAAATCCACTTGTACAAAATCTTAAAATTGCACAACCAGAAATTTACAATAGGTGATTGAATAGCAACAGCCTGGAAGTTCCCCAGCCCCGGAAAGGAATTTAAGGCTGTAATTCTATTACACTTTCCCAGGAGTAAGCCCCGTGACTGGACATAGCAGAACTTTCATTTGGCTGAGAATAAACAATGACATAGGATCTGTATCTTATTTTCCATTCTTTTAATAATTTCAATGGGGGGGTGTGACAAGAAATTTTCTGCACCAGGTACAGCCTGACCTTGCTACACCACTGCATAGGATTGCACCATAACTGCAAAAGTTTTTTTTTTAAAGGCTCAGTAACAGAGCAGAGAAAACTTTATAAGGCTATGCAGGGGTGACATCTAGTGGCTGCCAGTTGTAAAAGCTGCAAATAAGAAAAAGAAAGAAAGAAAGAAAGAAAGAAAGAAAGAAAGAAAGAAAGAAAGAAACATTCTGGGCATCAGAGCTGATTTTATGTAAACTGTGTTATTTTTACTGTTGTTAGCAGCTCTGAGCCCTGCTTCAGCTGGGGAGGGCAGGATATAAATATAAATAAAATTTATTATTATTAT